CCCATTCTCTGTGGCCATCCCTCCTTATTGGTCCCCCTCTCAGAACTTTTCTGTCTCCAGCCCCTCACCTGCTGATCCTGGCATTTTGTCACCCATCACCATTTCCAGGGTGTTGTCTGCAGAGCTCAGGTGGAGACAATGAACTCCATGGCAAGTGGCTGTGAGCGCTCCCAAACACCTTCCTTCCCTCCTCAAAACCCAGACTCTGCTCTGTCTAAATCCTATGTTGACTAGGCTGGGCTAAGGCAAGATGCCTGCCTCGGGATCCACGTGGTGGGTTGAGAGCCCTGAGCTACTGTGCATTGCACATTTTACCTGTTTTTCAGGATAGACTCGATACGTTCCACCACACACATAAGTAAATAACAATAGTGATGTTTTCTGAGAAACGAGGAGTTGTTATCTCAGCACTTAGGAGGCTGAGACAGAAAGATTGCTGGGAGTTCAGATCCATTTTGGGCTACATACTGAGCTCAAGGCCAGCCTGAAGAACATAAGGGATATTATATCTCAAAAAAAGTTAAGATAGAGCAAATATTTATTTATTTACTTATTGTTTTGATAGGGTACCAGGAATCAAACCCAGGACCTCATGCTTGCCAGGCAGGTGCTGCACAGCAGCGCTAATCCCCTACCCCTAAAGCAACTATTAGAGCAGCACCGCTTCTTGGTACAATTGGGAAGGAATGAAAGACAGCATCGTATGGATCCTTGTTTACCTTCATTCATTGTAGTGTTGTTTGCAAGGCTGAGCTACAGAACCAGTCTGGATCCTACTAGCAGGTGAATGGGGATTGTTAGGGAAGTAAGCCGGGCCCTGGAAGATGAGTATCACTGAGCCCCTTAGTGTAGGAACCTGAAGCTACAAGGCAGGCTTTCATGCAACAAGAGAAAGGAAGAACGTGTGGTGAGAAAGGATAGTGGGGGAAGAATCAAGGAAAATATATTAGCACAGTGAAACCTAGTACTTTTTTATCTGCTTTTTTGCTACGTAACTGAGGCTGCCCTTGAACTCACTATGTGCTCCAATTTGGCCTTGTAGTACTTGTAGTGATCCTCCCTGCCCAACCTCCAAGTGCTGGGATTACCTGGTAGAAACCCAGTAGTTTGCAAAATTAATGATCACTAGCCACAAAGGTGGAACACGGAGCTCCCTGTTTCTAGCCCTTTAGAGTCTCACTCAGTGACTCGGACCTTCAACCTGACTTTCATTTCTCACTGATGTGTATTCAGAGTCCATCTTTCTGGGTGAAAAGCACATCAGAGATTCCACTGGGAGCCGCATGCACACTGGGGCACACGCAGATGTTGGAGAGAGGTGCAGTGTGATGAGATGAGATGCAGCAGGTGTGTGGCAGGCCAGGAGGCCCTGGCAGCGGGGACGCCGGGAAACAGGCAGCGGTTGCAGTGGCCTGTGGCAGCCTCTCCCACAGCCTTGTTGTCCATGTGGTCATAGAGACCTGGGAGGGAAGCTCTGGCCAGGCCTCCACCAGCAGCGCTGTGCCCTCACCGGCTTTATGCCTCTATGATTTCTACTTCTGTTACCCTAAAACAATGGAGAAAAGAATGAACACCAAATGGGGATGATGGCTACTTCTGCCCAACTTGGAATGAAAGCATCCAGATTTTTTTCTTTTTAGACAAGTTTTCGCTATGTAATTCAGGCTGGCCTTGAACTCAATCTATAGCCTAGGCTGGCCTTATACTTGAAGCCATTTTCCTGCCTCAGCCCCCTGAGTACTGGGATTATAGGTGTAGGCCGTCATGTCCATGTCTTGTAATTTAACTTCTTGATTCAAGGCTCTATATACAGATGGATTTGGGGACATTTGTCCAAAGCAGAAAGAACATGGGTCTAAATCAGATCTCATTTTTGATGGTGAGGGCAGGGTGTCTCAGAGATTCTTAACACAAAATCTTGCCTCTTACAAAGGAGAGACTTTCATTTTTCTCCAGTACACTAAAATTTGGAACAGAACTGTTCCATGACATATGCCTTAGCCTATCTAAGGACAAGAATTACCATCCAGAAACTTGTGTGTCCTTGATGAAAAATGTCTTTCTAGATCTTGTTTTCCTCATCTTTAGAGTGGGGGTGCAGCAGTATCGAAGTCCTGAGTTCTGGTGAAGTGGAAGGGGTTTCTGCATTCTCAGCAAAGCTGAGTGTAGAAATGTGACTTAGGCATGGAGGTGAGACCTATAAAACGGGCACTGTGGAAGGCTGAGTCAGAAAGATCACAAACTCAGCCCAGGCTGGGAACAGAGAGCTCAGATAGAGGTAGGCTTTCTGAAGACAGGTGGTCAACCTCTGAATTGTCCTGCAAGATGCCTGCTTCTCCCTCCCCTCCCCTCCCCTCCCCTCCCCTCCCCTTTCTTTCCTTTCCTTGCCTCAGGATCCCAGGAGTGCTGAAATTTGAAGCATGTTTCACCTGGGCTGTAGCTGTGGTGCAAGGTACCTGCTTATCCTGGCTTCTGCCTTCATGGGAACTTTCCCATCTCCACTTGCTCTGCTTTCTCTCTTTCTTTCCCTCCCTCCCTCTTCCCCTCCCTTCCCCTTGAGACTTCCAGCTCCTGTATTCCAGCCCTCCGCACTCCTTCACAGCCATCCCACCGCTTTCTCCAACCCCATTCTCCACTCATTGCTCATCAGTCTGCCCCTCTTCAGCCTTGCTTCCTTCTGGCTCTCGCGTTGCTCCCAGTCACTCTCCTCCTGAGCTGCCGCCCTTTTCTGCTGCTCCAAGCTCCCAGGATGCTGCTCTGCAGCCTTCCATCATGGGCTCTGTCAGCCCCCCTTCTCCCTCTGGACAGCTTCAGCCCTCCTGCTCATCTCCCACACTTGGGACAGCTCCCACATCGCCACTTCTTTTCAGATGTTCCCATTTTCCTATGATGTAAATCAGGCATTTAGGTTATGAAAACGAATCCCCTATAAGACTGAAATGGTCAAAGGACGCCTGGGCCTGTGTGCTTCCTCCTCGCCTGGGCCGTTCCTGGCCAGTGTTCCTTGTTCAGAGGCCTTTCCTTCATTTAGGATTTAGGGTGATCTTCCACAGACGTCACTTCCTTCTTCTGCCTGGCTTTTCTACTTCGATTTCTTCCCCTCACTACCCCTTTAGATCTGTAGACTACAATCTGCTGCCTTTTGTATGTTTGTTTGCCATACTGAGAAAACAAGACTTCCTTTCACAGTGAAAGAACTTAGTGAAATAACCACAGCTCCACTGGGAGAAAATGTCACCAGAAGAAAAACAAGCAATTGAGATTGACAGGAAAACACACACAGAAGCACACACACAGAAGGCAGTTCATCTTTATTTTTTATCCGCAAGCAGTTCACAGTCCTGTCCTCTGTGGTACACACGGAATACACACATTTCCGTTACCACCCACTGCTCCTTTGTGTGTCAGGTTCAGGAGCCAAGCCACTCAATATGCGTATTTACAAGAGTTTGAGAGCACTAACCCTCGGCTGTGAGTATAATGCTGGTGTAACTATAATCGTTAAGATATAAACCTTTCTAAAAGACTGAGTATTTATGCTCATCTGTCTATTAAATACCTATCGAAACACTATTAAAAATAGAACGACAACTGTACATATTACATAAATTATAATAATGTAATGTGTAATATTATACAGCAGATATACATAGTACTATCTCTGTAGGCAAAACACCTACAATTAATGGGTTTGTATTATACATTAGAGAAATCTGTGATGGACCTATCCCCGTATCTTAAGCATTCCCTCCCAATGTGAGACTCTACAGGTCATCTTCAATTGCTATCAGAAGTATGGGAAACCAAATACATAAAAATAACAGATGTCCAACTTCTAATTCAAGGGCAACTTGAACAAAGAATGTAGAATTTGCAGGGCGCCAGAGAAAAATTTGTTCCTTCTGGTTCCCCCACTGGGTTCCAGCTCTGGGGAGAATGCTGTGGGGGATTCTATTTCATTACTCCCATGAGCTGGCGATCTGGAAGGAAGAGAGGAGACAATGTCAGACTTCATGGGGACAATTTTCTAGATGACAAGATCACCTTAGTGCTTTCCACGCACATAACATCTGGACTTCCGTCTGTGATACCAGTACCACTAATACACCAGCATCATGACTGCAGCCTGACCCTGAGCCCCAGGGTCTCATAAAAGAAGCTCAGTCCTAAATGTGGCTACTTGTACGGGATTTAAAACAACTCTTTGCTTATTCCTCTACCCAAACCCATACTGTAATGTGTCTATTGTAAGGTTACCCTGAACCTAGTATTCGTTAGCTTTTCATCATTCTGACAAACATCCATGGCCTAATACTTGAGGAGGAGATGTGTAAGCACTGGAGAGGAGAGATTTGTGCACAAGTGGAAAGATGGGCTAGGAAACCTCCAGTGCACTCGAGTGTAAAGGGTGCATCCTGTGCAGCCTGGGATGTACATGCAGTCAGGGGTAATTCCCTGCCCTTGCTGCGCAGGCAGCCTGTTCCATCGCTAGCTTCTCATGAAACATGCATTTGTTATAAATGAATTCCTTTTTTTGCTATCCCTGAAGGACAAAAGGCCTTGTATAAATGAAAAAAGGCAGCAGTACAACTCTGTAGGGAAATGGAAATTTATGGCTAGTACATAGACATCCATTCAGAACAAACGAATCGACATCTCATGCACTGATCGGGACCCATTTGCTCTGATAGGAAGGATGTCTACCAAATCTGTACCTCACAAACAATGTACTGTCTGTGAGGTCTGGCTGAACAGTGTCCCAGCACACAGCTCATGTCTCCCAGATCATGTGTCTGCTTGCCATGCTGGTTGATGGCTCTGGGGGGTGGGGGCAGGGAGAGGCCAACTTTGGACTTGGGCCTGGGCTGGTTCCTGATGTGTAGATGGTGGTGGGTGGGGGATCATGAGAGGAGCCTCCCGTGGGCTCCCTGCATTCCCTATATAAGTAACAACACTGCTGTCTGAACCTTGGAACACTTACCTTCTTGGGGTCACTATCCTCAGGGCTTCAGGGTCCCCTGAATAAGGGTGCGATCTCGGCCCCACACCCAGAGCGCAGGATCATAAGCTTGGATCTGGAAAGAAAAGCAGCCCGAGTGGATGAGGAGTGGCAGTGACACCATCCCCGTGGCCAGCCTCCAGCTCCTCCTGGTCACCTATCCCCAGACTCCCCTGTGCCCCTCTGACCCAATCCATCCTGTCCCTGTCAGCGCAGTCTCACCCACCTCCTCACACTCCTCTTTTGTCACCCTGAGGTGCCAGCCTATGCAACAGATGAACTGGTAGCGTAGCTTCTGAAACTGGGCAATCTTTTTGAAAGTCCAGTCATAGAGAAACAGTAAGATGCCTAGTTTCTGATCTTGGTCATCTTCCTCCATGTCATTGGCCAGGTATCTGGGAAAGAAAGCAATTTTCTGGTCAGGGCACAACCAGGAAGGAACTGAGCCCTGGGTCGGCTTCCAGGGAGGATAGGCAGGTCCCCTTTAGCTCACAATATCATCAGCTCAGTCCAGCATTCCTGAGGACTAGGCCTGAGTGCAGAGGCATAGGCTTCAAGGTCCTTCTGATGGTGTCTCCCACATGAGGATGAGGGACCCCTATGTAGAGCCTGAATAGCCTCCTGGCCCTGTCACCAAGGAAGTTGACACCACCATCTTCCCACCTCCATCCTTTCCTTTCCTTGCAGCTCGTTCTCGTGCACACACCTGCCTCCTGATCCCAAGGGGAGCACCGGCACAAAGTGACCTTGGTATGTTTCTGTGCTCTGCTCTCCTTCCCAGGGGCCAGCAGAGGGATGGGCTCAGGGTGAATTCTACCAGCAAGTTTGACATGTCCTGCCCATGGCTAAGATCCCTGGCAGAGGATGCACCAAGGAAGGTTTTGTGGAAGGAAGGAAGAAAGAAAGGAAGGAAGGCAGGAAGGCAGGAAGGCAGGCAGGCCAGCTCCAGGTATAGACAAAGGCTACGCAGAGCACCTGGTGAACTCAGTGCCACAACAGAAGCACTCACTGATTGACAAGGACTGAGCCAGCTGTTTGAAGAACATTCAAGACCCAGCTCTCAGCAGCTGTCTCCCTGAAGGCAGTTTGGTAAAAGGAAGGCAGAGGAGGAGCAGGAGTCCAGTGTCCTTCAGTGGGAACTTGAGGACAGCACTGCTGGAATGCAGAGGTGCCAGACCAATGCTGACAGTGTGGGGTCTCACTTAGTTTGCAGCACTGGGACTGAGTGCAGGTTTTCATCGCTGACTGACATCCTCATCCCTTTTTGAAAGCTTTCGTTTGGAAGCAGGATCCTGCATCTTCCTAAGTTGCAGGCCTGGCATTCTCCTTCCTCAGTCTCCCAGAGTGCATTGATTATGGGAGTGCATGGCCACACCCAGCTTTGCTTTTGAGGTAGATTCTCACTGAGTTGCCCTTGCTCATGAATCTTGGCTTGAACCCCTGGAGCCGAGACATCCTCCACCCCTTCAGCCTCCTGAATGGCTGCGTATAAAATTGTGCACCACCACAGCCATGGAAGTTTGGATGTTTCGGAGGTGCACAATTTTTACCCAGGTTCAAAGTATGAAGATGAGGACAGAAACCAGGAGATAAAGACAAGGAGGAGGGTATTTGGTAGGAGCAGTGAAAGAAAGGAAGGGAATAGGAAATGCTGACCTCGCTTGGGTGGAGAGATTGTAGGGTGGGTGGATTCTAGGCGGGATCTCTAGCCTGGGTGTGAATGAAGTACTCAGTGATGTAGTCACCAGGAGGCTAGTGAGCTGTGGGCCCATCTCTGAAGGCTGACCAGGCAACACAAAGCCTACTCCTGGCTCCCTGGCTTGTGCAGACTTGTGAGAGACCCTGGCAGGGTGTATGGTACACTCAGTGTGTGCCTGTGAGAACAGCATGTATTGGGTGTGGGTCTTGGAAACCCAGAGGAGGGGACAAAAACACATTTGGTATTGCTAAGGAAAGAGATTCTAGGAGGGTCAAAAATGGCTGCCCTCAGGCCTGAGGGCTAAGGCCCACCAGAGAGTTCTTCCCACATCTGTTGTCTGGATCTCTGTTTCCCCAGGTGGCATCCTCTAACCAACAGGAGCGTAGACTGCAAGTTTTCTAAGTATTGGAATACCGAAGGGTGATGGCCCTGTTCTACAGATTCTGCAGTACAGAGGCCAGGTGAGGGTCTCTTCCTCACCCTTGGGGGCTCACTGTGGCCTGGGTAGAGCAGGGAGGCATGGTACTCACAGTGCTAAGAAGAAGTGGATCCTCCGGTACTGGCAGGGGAAGAGGCTGGCCCTGCTGAAGTAGGCGATGACCATGGCCAGGAGGTTCTGCGGGGAGAGAGAGGACAGTCAGAGAGCAGGTACAGCAAGAAGGATGCTGGGACACTGATTGGGAGGAAAGGCCCCATCAGAGAAGAGACCCCAGTGTTGGGTGACCTAGTCATTCAGGGGAAATCAGGGGTCAGTGATTGTTTGCAAATGAGAACAGTCAGGAGAAGGAAGGCCATGATGCCCAGGATGTCACCTTGGGCATAGGGGCACTGAGGTCACATGGATCAGTGGGATTTGCTTTAAATTAAAGCAAATGGGTTCCTTGAGAGCTGAGGAGAGGAACCAGGAGATACCTACAGCCCCAGCTAGAGAAGCCATATGCAGGGAGACGTGGCCTGGTCTCAGTTCACAGAGGACCCAGGCAGGGCAGCATGCTATACCCGTGTAGTCTCCAGGCTCAGGCAGGCCCAGAAGGGAGATGGTGCTGAGTCCTAAGGGGGCTCAAGGGTGGAGGTTGAGTGGGTGGGGGGAGCTCCCAGCAGGGACCAGGAATTGGAACCCTGCCCTCCCTTGGCTGTGCCACAAAGAGCCCAGCTAGGGAAAAAAGACCTCACCTTGTCAGAAGCTCTCAGGTCTTTGTCCCAGGCCAGGAATTTCTTGATGACTGGATCCTCTGTGAAGAGAACAGTGTTAGACTCTCACCTGGCAAGGGAGGCCCAGGATGTGGGAATATAGGGAGAAAAACACAGCTGCCTGCAAAAGGTTCTTGCTGAACTCTGGGTCAGGCAGACGGGAAGAGAAAGAACACTGAATGGGCAGGGCCAGGGGCACATCCTGGGAATCTGAGAGAAGCACCAGAAGGAGGGCCTGGGTAGCAGTGACCATCTGCCTCCTTAGCACCTGGGAGGAGGCCAAGGTGGCCTCTCATGACATATGAATGCTACACTTCAGACATCAGAGGCATCCTGATCCTTTGTTTGTGTGATGGTCACAGTGCTATGACAAGGAACTCATCCCTCCTCAAGCACTGCATCCACTTCCGTTAGGAAGTGAGCCGTTCCTCCATGCCAGGTGGGCTGGTTTGAGCTATGCTTTGTCATCAAGTGGGAACGTGTTCTGAGGACTGCATCATCTCTGTCACTGTGTGTCCCTGGGGAAGGATGACCCTGGAATCCTCCCAGAATGGCCAGCTCAGGGCTCTGTGTGCTCCTTTCCACAAGTGAAGGAAGGGACTGCAAGTGTCTTACATTCCTAGGAACCATGTGGGATGTGCTATGCGGTCTCCTTACCCAGCAGCCTGGTGAAGGCAGCGTGGTGCTCAGGCAGCACCGAGAACAGGTGCTTCCTCTTCATCTTCTTCTTGAGACCACAGGCCTTCTTCTCCATGACACTCATGTGAGTAAAAGGCCCAGGGCATAGCCTTTGTGATGATTCTTGCTGCTCCTTTTCCATCAGGGAAAGATACTCTCTCCACCTCTTGCGAGGGGGGAGCCTGATATCTTTCTGAAGGGCTACATCAGAGCACCAGGGCCCTCCTCTTTTCTCTTCTTCTGGGGCCTCTGATGAGCACTCCCACTTCCTCTTGTGATGAAAGGATGGAGGTGAGAGACTGGGGCTTTTCTTCGGGTCTGAGGCAGCAGCCCCCTGGTGATCCTCCTGTTCTAACTCTGATTCTGAAGAGGAGGCATCTTTCTGCTCCTGGGCAGGCAACTGCAGCAGGACGGAGGGCAGCAGCCTAGGGCCTCCATAGATGGAACTCCCCGGGTCCTCCTGCAACTGCTCCCCAGACTCTGAGGAGCAATCTCTCTTCCTATCCTGAAGAGAGGTCCAAGTCAGGAAACTGGGTGCTACCAAGAGACCTGAGGAAAGAAACCCAGGTTCAGTGTGAAGCATCTGTCTTTGGAATTCAGCCTTAGACCATGTGTTCTGGCTTGTGTCTAGGTGTCCCCCAAAACCTCATGTGGTCATACATCTTGGGAAGATTTGAAAATGCATGGATTGGGGTGTGTGAATGTTGATTAAGGCCATGATATTGGGATGATGGGTGTCCCACCCTGGGTGTGGGTGGCACTGATCAATCAATAGGTTTCTAGACTGGATAGAATATAGAAAAAGACTTGCTATTGTGACTGCTCTTGCTTGCCTGGTGCTACTTTCTGCCTGCTTCCCAGGCAGGTGCCCCTCTGCCATACCACCCTTCCTGGGAGCCAGCTGATGACCTGAACCTTTCTTTAACTTTAGATGCCAGATACTTGTCTCAGCAACTATCTTACCCCAACTCCCTCCTTGCAAATAACCCCCAAACTTCTTCCACAGTTGTCTCCTCCAAAGTCCTGCTGATCGCCATCTGCCACTGTCCCCTCACCCTGTACCTACAAAGTGTTCCTGATGCAGACCCTTTCCCTTAGTGAGGGAGGCACTCTGCTGAGCCAGATCTTCTCCTGTTTATTCTTGGATCTCATCTCCTGACCCCTTTCCAGCTCTGCAGCTTTTCTATCCATTGACCATCCTGTTGCCTGTCTTTTCTTTCTTCCATCTCTGCCTTTCTGAGCCCCTCCCTCCTTGTTCTGTGGCCCTTCCTCCCTACCACTCATCTTCTCAGTCCTCTTCTGTCCCCAGCCACCTCACCTGATGGCCCTGGGATCTTATCAACCACCACCATCACCTCAGGGTATAGGCCAGGAGAGACAGGCTGGAAACTCTGGTCCTCACACTGGGAGGATGGCTGACAGTGGCCATGAGTTCTCCCAAACTCCACCTTCCCCTCTACAAAATACTGATCTGCCCATACCCTGCTTCTGTAATTCAATGGAACCTAAGCCACTGCCTCTTCTCTGGGAGGACTTGCAGCCATTACCCCTGGGCTGCTAATCCCCAGGGGCTTTGAACCTTCTCATCACGGAGGTAGGAAGCCTGAGGTGATTGGGCCCTCCAGCTTAGCAGCCAGTTTGATGGAAAATGCACCTAAGTGCCAGACTGTACATCTCCTGCCACAGACTCCAGCTATGTCCATCATCCTAGTGTCCCCCAGGGCCTGTAGCTTCCCATATCTCCTCTCCTTAGCCAATGCCCCATGATGTCCCCTGTTAACTGTAAACACGTGTAGTCCTCCTACCATCTGTGCTTTTCCCCGCTTCGAGCATAGACTGGTGGAAGAGATAGCAGAGTCAGCAGGTTATTAAGGGAGGGCAGGAACAATAGGGCCCCATGAGCAGGATGTGAGTGTGGACAAAGATGCCAGCAGCAGTGAATTTCTGAGTGGAAAATTGCAATGAAAACACTCAGTTCAGCCAAACTTTTCTACCCAATGTTCATTGCCCCTTTCTACATTTAGGACTCTACACTTGAGACACATCCTCCTGGTTCAGGTACCTTTGAGTTGAAGAGACTTCTCGTGTGGGCCAAGCATGGTTGAGCACACCTTGAATTCCAGTAATTGGGGGGCTGAATCAAGAGGATTGCTGTAAGTTTGAAATCTGGACTTCGTGAGACCCTGTCTCAAGGAAAAAAATATGAGTTTATTAGTCATTGCTTACTAGATAAACAGATTTGATGCAAAATATATAAATATATAAGAATTCATAAGATTGACTTACAATGGCAGCTTAGAATCAAGGGCCTGTCTGCATGCTGAAGATGGGAAGGATCCAAGTGAAGGCCTGGGGCTTAGTCCAGTGTCTCACAGAAGTCTGTATGGGGAGGTGGAGACTCTGCAGTGAAAGCCAGGAGGCAATTGGAGCTCTGCACAGGGGAAAGCTTTTGTACCATTCAGAAGCCAGTCCTCCCTAGGGTGGATGACAGCTCCTCCTAGGGTGTGTCTTCCACACCCACAATTATGCTAATCCAATGTAGCTGCGCTCTTCTTACTAAAGTTGACACAGTGAGGGTGTGAGTGACAGCAACCAATAGGCTTGTTGCCTGAGTGCAATAAAAGGGAAAGGAAGGTGGAACACTCCCATCTGCTTATTTGAAGGCACTCTGGTCTTCACCTTCACCTTCAGTGTCATCTCCTAGCTCTGTCAGTGGCCTTTTAAAGCCAATCTTTCTTCTTTTCTTTTGAGACAAGTTCTCACTATGTATCCCAGGCTGGATTTAAACTCACTGGGACCATTCTGCTTCTCAGTCTCTTGAGTGTTGGGACTATAGGTATGAGCCATCATGCCTGGATAATCCAATCTTGTAAATCTTAATATGCTTGTCTGTTATGGTTTGTGTTTTGTTGTACCTCATGCAGGCATTGGGCAGCTTTTAGAGTTGGTGATTAACTCATGATCCAATGCTGGGATTATGGGTGTGGGTGCTACCTCCACCCAGGATGGATAATCTGAATACAATGTAAGGAGGGGAGAGAGGCTTGCTGGTGGCTGCATCTCCTGCTCCTCCCTTTGCTCTTTGCTGTCTTCCACTGAATGGCTGTCCTCTGCCATGTGCCACTCTGCCTTGGAGCCAGCCTATGAACTGAAACCTCCACTAACTGGGAGTTAAATAAACCTTTCCTTCCTTAATTTGGGGTGTTGGGTATTTTGTCCCAGTAACAAGAGAAAAGTAACCAAGACATTATCTATCTTCCATTAAATCTGTTTCTTTACTAGGCATCAACTGATACAGATTTGGATACTGGAAATGGATCTAGAGAAACAATTTAAAGATGAAATTCATGGCCTGAGTGGTTCCTTGAGTTTGCTCTCTAATTTAATGAGACCTAAAAATGCCATGGTCTCTCCTTGTGATACTGTGGGAAATTCTGAAAGTCATTAGTGTGAACTGTTTAAATGAATATGCAAGGGCCCCCAAATAGCTCAGTGGATTAAAGCGCCTGCTAGAGCAGGCACAGGGACGGGGCCTAGATCCCCAGTGTGCCATGCTGGCCCCACTCCTGGGGCATGCTGAGATGTGATTGAGACTGGGTATGGTGGCCCACACCCATAATCCCAGCTCTTGGGAGGCTGAAAACAGGAGGATCACTACGAGTCCAATCTGGGTAATGAGACCCTGTAGACCCTGTACTAAATACATAAAAAAAGAAGAAAAAATATGTAGTGTAACCCATTGAATTATCATAATCCACCACTTTTGAGATTAAGGAAGTTAGGGCTCCTCATATGATAGTTTTGAATATGTTTGGTAGAGTGGGAAATATAACTATGCTGGCTGGTTGCTCTTAGCATCTCTGGAAAACTAGAGAAGAAAAACAATGAGCTCAAAACATCCATAGAAAATCTATAGTCTTCTGTGAAAATATATTTAAAAAAGGAACCTTCTCCATTTTAGCTGGGAGTGTAGACTGTTGCATGCATTGTGGAAATCACTGTCTCAGCCTCCCCAGTGCTGGGATTACAGGTACCATCATACCTGGTTTTGGGGTGGCATGGCCTGTGATGTCAGGGGTCGAACTTGGGTCCTTGCACTTGCCAGACAGGCGCTTAGATCACTGAGCTAGCTCCCCAGCTCCAGGGATGGAATTTTATGGCTTGTGTTTAGATGTTTCCCCCAAAGCCTCATCTGCTTGTATCTGGGCTTTTTCAGAGGTGGCTGGATCTAGATAGAGTGTGTGATCGATTCGTGGTGACTACTGGCGAGAGAAGAAACCTCCTGGGGTGAAATTGGGCCACTGCGGGTTAACTGTACAGCTAGGATCCCTAAGAACTTTGGTGGTTATGACCACAGATATGTACAGGTACAGCCATAATGTTACGTCAGCAGGACGTAATGGCCCTGGAAACTCCTAGGGTCCCCTCAGACTCACAGTGATCCTCCTGCCTCAGCCTACTTAACACTGGGATTATAGGCTTGTACCATCTTGCCTGGTCTATTTGCCTTTCATGGTCCTTTTTTCCCTTATTTCGGAGACAGGGTCTCATTGTATAGTTCAGACTGGCCTTTGACTCACTCTGTAGCTTGGGCTGGCCTCAAATTTACAGTGATCCTCCTGATTCAGCCTCTCAATCAAGGTCATTTTGACTTTGGTAAACAGCAATAAGTTACATAGTATCAGAGCTGGTGAATAAGGCTTCTTTCTTTCTTTCTTTCTTTCTTTCTTTCTTTCTTCTTTCTTTTGCTTCCTTCCTTCCTTCCTTCCTTCCTTCCTTCCTTCCTTCCTTCCTTCCTTCCTTCCTTCCTTTCTTCCTTCCTTCCCTCCTTCCTTCCTTCCTTCTTTTCTTGTCAGGATTCAGCTTCCCAGGCACCTTGCCCCAAATACTCTCCCTCTTGGTTTCCCAGGCACCCTGCCCCCAAACTCTCTCCCCTTTAGCCCCATGCAGAGCCAAACCCCAAACTGCAGAACAGGTCCACCTGACTTTGACCTGGGCAAGCAACCACGAAACTCTTCTTTGTTAACATTAAAAGTCCCCCAAAGACCAGGTAGCCTGCCAAGATTAGCTCTCCCTCAGCTGTTCCAGCCCATGATCACCCTCCCTAAAAGATCCTATACATTCTCCTGTCTCCCCTTTATTCACTGCTGTCTTGGTCCACTAGACAGCCATCCTGCTTGATGCCCCCAATAAATCTTCTACTCATGTCAGAATGCCTGGCCTGGTTGATCGCGTGGGTTTGTACCTAACATACTCTTTCTTTCTTTCTTTCTTTCTTTCTTTCTTTCTTTCTTTCTTTCTTTCTTTCTTTCTTTCTTTCTTTCTTCCTTCCTTCCTTCCTTCCTTCCTTTCTTCCTTCCTTCCTTCCTTCCTTCTTTCCTTCTTTCCTTCTTTCCTTCCCTTTTCCTTCCTTCCTTCCTTCCTTCCTTCCTTCCTTCC